TGGGTTGGTATACGTCCTATTCGGTATAAGTCCAAACATTAGGAACGGATTAATGTTGTATGCCGAGGTACCACTGTATAACAATTTTCAGTGCGTATCATTGACACTTAAAATTATTATACTTCGTCTATTATTGCATTATCAAACTATTATTACCATTAGATTGTGTAAAAATCCTTTCAGAATGATGATGTTCCAAAACGAAGTTTAGTAAAAAATTGTTTATCACATCGTATAAATTTACTCCGATATAGGTGCTTTTCCATTGACCAGGAATGCTCAATCGTATAGCGAGTAATAGAAACATTCTTCATGCACGAAATAACTCCGTTTTGATGTTCGAAACACCGATGCTATCCGAAGGGTTAATTACCGTCGCGTCAATAACCGATAGGCATTTATCGAATTCATCGGTGGAATAAATTCGAGATATTCCTGTGAATTTCAATCCTCCTAATAATTCGCTTCGCCAACGTCAGCAGAATAACTCACCGTATCGAATGCACCGAAGAGACTGTCAGTAAATTCATCGTTCCGTTTTCCACAGGATATGCTTTTTATACTTTCTTGAGCGAACTTAGACTCGTGCTCATAATTATCTTTCCAATTTCCCATCCTTCAACGACTTTCTACAGTCGGCTCATTCAAAGAACGATACTTATACACCACTGTCGAGATTATTGGAGTTCATTATCATGGAAAAAAGTTAGCTGGCTGCAATGTGGCCGGAGAAAATCGAAGCGACGATTAACTAAGCGATAGGAAACGCTGGGCCGTTTAAAGAGGAATGCGCCAATCAATCGACACGTACTCGATCGTGTTCCTTCATTGACGCTCAGAAACGAACGCCATTATGTTCATAATTAACGATTTCATATAGAAATATAAAGAAATTTAATGTAGAACCTAGTTTTATTTCATAATTTTTAATGATGTAAGGATTGAAGTCCCAATGAAAGTAATAATTCAAATCAAATAGGTAGAAAGAAGTGTCCGAATTCTATAAAATTATTATTATTATTTAATAATCTTAAAATATAAGAGAATCTGGTACAGAACCTACTTTTATTTCATAATTTTTTAATGATGTAAGGATTGAAGTCCCAATCAAAATAATAATTCAAATAATAATAGGTATAAAGAAGTGTCCCAGTTCCATAAAATTATTATTGTTATTAATTAATCTTAAAATATAAAGGATTCTGATATAGAATCTAGTTTTATTTCATAACTTTTTAATGATGAAGTCCCAATAATAATAATAATTTAAATAACAGTATGTATAAGAGAGTGCCCTGCTTCTATAAAATTATTATTATTATTATTAAATAATCATAATGGGAAGTTAAACAATGAATCAAGTAGATATGAACCGTTCAAATTACACGAGGCGCAAGCTTGTTCCGTAGAGGGTGCAATCGAAGCATTAGAACAGAAACAAGAGGGATGAGCATGTACACGTGTTCCAAAGATTGCCAAGTACACTCATGTGTTCGTTAACTACGGGGGATAAGGTGCCTATACGTAGGTGACACGTGCTACGAAAATACACGGCTAAGGAGCACGAAGGGAAGCGGCAAGATAAAATTAGAAGGAGAGAAGAGCGCGTCGTCGAAACGTTTGTTTTACGGTTCCCGCCCTGTTCCACGACATTCGCCGCAATTTTTCTTTCCACGTCCACTTACGGCACACAGAAATGCTCCAATTCGGTGAATAGAAGGTTCCTATGGGTTCCGGGGAATGTAAATTAATAATATCGCACGGAAACATAAAACAATACCACCGTCAAAATGAATAATGAAAGAGCTATTAACTCTATACGATAGGTTCTTTTAATTTCAATTAAATGGCCACTTTTTATAGCTTTCTTTTTGAAATATTAATATTCATATACTTCGTTCAAATTTAAGTTAGAGTTAAATTTGTCTTAAATGGAATGGGTTTTATTTAAATATTGAATATTTGAACAAGTTAAATGAATTTATATGTTTTTAGTAACATTGATAGTATTTTGCATTATATCAAATAATTGTATATAAAATTACAACAAAACTTTTAATAGTGCCCTCTTACAATTTATTTATATATTATTTCTCTATTATTTATCATCATATATTTTATAGTACTGGCCATTACATTAATAAATTTTTACAGATACTTGTACAATAGTTGATGTTTGACGACTTAGGCTCCATTACCCAGCAATTAATGAAGGTCCACAAATTATAAAAAGGTTTACAGTAACGATAGTTGCCAAATCACAAGCAATATTTTCCATGAAAATCACTAGTAACGTATTACGAGAATGACGCTCCAACAGCAAGTGCGAGGACGATGAATTATCTGACAGTTTTGTTACTCACGGAACTCATTTAGCGAACACGTAGTCCCTTGTACTGTTCGTTCTCTTCGTATTTACTTTTTCCGAGGGAACGACGTCTCTGAATGAGTTATCGCGTCGAGCCCTTGAGCCCACTCAATTATCCTAATGAGCAGAAACGCCAATAGACCGCCACATTTTCAGGGGTACATCTTATTTTTAAACCTATTCCCGCGTTGACGAATTTGCGGATGCTAGTCATCCCGTAAATGAAACATTCCCTACGAAGAGACTGTCGATGAGAAAAAATCTCTTAAAGATTTTTCAATTCACAGCTTCAAGTATTAAATAGAAGTTTCAATGATCTTGATGTACATATCTTATAAAGGTCATTGCCCCGAGTAATTTCATTTATACATGTACTAATCACCATTCGATATTCTGTATAATTACTGAAGTTTTATCCACATGATGAATTATGAAAAATTTTCAATAAGAAATATTTTCTGTTAAAAGAAATTAATAGCAATAATAACGATAAGTAAAAGATTTGAAGACCTTTAATCCTTGAGGTAAGCATAAAAGAAAGTAGTTGCAAAATTGCAGCCATAGTGTACTCGCATAAGAATGCATAGTTTCTTTATGGGAGACACAGGGGCAAATATTCCATTAAATATACGTTTATCTTGGTAACGGTATTCTCGTGCACGAGAATCGCGTACACGTAATGCACCACCTATTCCGAACATCCGTATTTAATAACCTTCATCGCAACTTTTTACCTCAACTTTGCCTCCAATGAAATTTCGCTTCGTTCTGCTTGATCTGTCTGGTATTTCACATAACTACAGGGTTATCCAAAAGGAACATCATTACCTTAACACGTCCTTCATACATATACGAATTAGGCTTGATTTTCGATAGAAGTCCATCATATTAATTGCTTGGAATTTTAAGTAATAGACATAATAAAGTGTTAGGAAAATAATAGCTAAGATTTGTTAAGAAAAAAATGACTTCAGTGTAGTAGTTGGAGACCTTAATTACAATAGATCAATTTCAATATTAAAAAAAAAATTGCAATTTACTATGTCGTAATTTATTTCATTTCATTATTATCGACAGTGCCCTAAGATTGATATGTTACGACTTTTAAGACTCAAAATTAAACCAAAACGAACGAAGGAGGCCATAACCGAAGTGAAAATAAAAACAGACTCTCTAATCATTTTAAGAATCATTTCGATCCCGCCGAAAGTTTCAAATCGAAGGTACAATTCGCCGACAATATCAAAGGGTCGGTGATTTACGAGACACAACAAATTACAAGAATCTATTTATACAAAAGAAAAAGCAAAAAGCAGGAAGATGTAGAAAAAGGAACACGGAAATCTCCGCGGCGTCGATCCGTTAAGATTCCAAAGGCGAAAAACTATTTCTGGTAGTCACGTGCGAACCGCAATGCCGCAAAAGTCCCCAGCCTGCCGCGTTTCCCTGTCCCGCATCGGTTAACTTAGATTCCTCGACGAGCCACCCATCAAAATGATAAACTTCTCTCCTCCCATGAAAGAAACCGAGCCGAGCGTCGGTGCATTTATTTTCGTACTCTACTTACCCCGTCTCAGCAGGATAGTATGTACACCTTATCAGAGTTCGTGTTTTACAATCTGCAATACCGACGTTACCGAAAAATCTCATTTGTGTCAACTCTTCTGTTACGCGCTCTACGATTGATTTTGAGAGGCTAAGTAAATACGTACATATAATACTAATTTGGATGTCAGAGAGTTTTGTATATGCTAATTTGGATGTCGTTTACAGGTTTCTTCTATTTTACAAAAGTTGGCCGCGTGGTGCAGCACCAGTACGTTGCGGCAGTGACTACAGATGTATGTAGAAGACTGGACATGCCTTTGTTCTCGATGGGTCATGATTTAGAGTCCCAGACACCCCCAGATGGAATTAGATCTGCATGCAGAGAGCACAGCCAGTATGATAATCGTGCCTGTTTTACCAGTCACTCTTTTACCGTACCTCAAACTGACATCTGAAATTAATTTTATTTTATTTTTTTAAATCAGTCAAAAGCAGCACAAAACTAAACAATTATTATTGTAATTGTTTGACAAACTTGTACTCACTTCATGCACTTTGGTAAATAAATCATTTGAAAAAAGCAACTGTTATTATTTAATCTACCCAATTTCATTTCTGAGTTATTTATTTAATGCTCGTATAGATGACGCTGGGGTTGAATTTTAAAAGTATTTAATTTATGGTGGTCTTTTTAAATTAAAAGTTTATGAATTGTTTGTTGAACAGTTATCTTAATAATTCTTCGGTCTTGTGCTAATCTTAACTGATTTTTAGAAAAGTAGAATCAAAGGGTGTCGAAATTGTGTCTTTTCAGTTGTCAGCGCGAGGTATGGTAAAGGAAGAAGTGGTACAACTGGCTGGAATGTCATACTCACTCTGAACATGTAGAGTTCACGTGAAGGTGTCTGGGACCCTCGAAATTATGAACCCTCGGAAACAAAGGCATGTCAAGCCCTTTGACATCTGTAGTGTTGGAGAGGATGGGCTTCATCCTGGTTCTAAATATGGCGCTACTAATCTGGATCCACGATGAGTCGGCAAGGTAGAATGATCGATCCAATTGCGACGTTGTCACTTCTATCATGGTTCCAGATAGGGAGAGTGGGGGTTAGTTAGGATGGAATCGCAAATATTCGGTGACGGTGGTGCGCGACCAGGGTGAGAAAAAAAGCATTGTCGCAAGAAAGTGAATTTGGATGAGCCTAGTGAGACACGTGGGTCATGTGTCAATTGGACGAGATCGAACACGACCTCGTACAGCGTCGTGGTGCTATTATTTGCGGCGTTCCTCGCAATTACGCAACGACCAGTGACCACGATAATGAACACTACGCATGAGGATCCTTAGTGGCTATGTTCCATCGATATTTTGTTGACCAATTGAGATCGTGAACGAACAGTGTCCATCGATTTTGCAGTGACGGAAGCCGAATGTTCGTTTGGAACCGAGCTCCCTGAAAACGGGAACCGTGGAACTCTAGTTTTGACAACGATGGTCCTTTGTGTTGTTCAAGGTTACCAGCATGAGCTTTTGGTCCCGCAGACGATTTCGTATTACTCCGCTACGAGCGTTGGCGGCGTTCTTCCTCATGGTCATGCTGTTCTGGTACAGTCTCAGTCGGCAAGAAACTCCCAGGCAACCATGCAGCGTCCCCGAGGAATTCACGGAGAAACTACACGAGCTTGCCTACAGGTCCATATGGTTGAGTCCTACTGACTGTAGATAAGTTCTTATCAAGACGTAGTGCAGATAGCGCATGCTGGATTGTCCACTATTTGAATGCTGACCTGTTCTCCACTCTTGCATGTATGACCTTGAATATTGCACGGAGATGCAATTACGTCTCCAGCCGGAGATCTCAACGTTGAATGCACTTTTGTCCTTTCTTGTTATATAAACTCCTCGAATAAAGTGATTGCTTTATTTTACCTTGATCCTTACCGTAAATACCTCACTGTAGATTGAGTTTGAGAAGGAGTTTCAGGAATCTTAAACTCTTTTACGTTGTGACAGTATTTTGGATTAAATAGAATATTTCTCTCTTAGTCAATTTGAACATAGAAAGAGATAGTAAAAGATAGAAGAAAGTGTGACGAGGAAAAATTAGATGGTGTCGAATAGAACACCACGTGATTCAGGTATCGATTAATGTACTTATAATAAAATAGGCATATCCAATAAAATTTTTTAAAATGGAATTTTATACTTTGTATAGCGTTTTTCTTTTTCCTACAAAAAAGTATTAAGGTACTTACTTAGGTCCAAAACTGATCAGTTCAAAAGATGTCTTAGGGAGAGACAGAGACTCACCCTACTGGTCTCTTCCTAAGATATCTTTGAAATACTACATTTTTGACCGAAATATCTGAGCACCTTTTTGTAGAAAATAGAAAAAACGCTGTATTTGATATATAACAAAGCACACAATTCCATTTTAAAAAAATGGATATGACCTTGAAATCTTTGAAATGTCTCCACTTCCGGTACTAACCATAATATATCACGTAATGTTTCATTCAACGCCATTTAATTTTTTTTCATGCCATTTTAAAGCTGTAATTTATTCCATTTGGACTGTATTTTGCATATTTTATTTCTGTAGCTAAGTCAAAATGACACTGCACTGAAAAATTTAATTACTAACCTAGATAATTGATATCCAGGTGCTTCTACCCTTGATGATATCGATTGCGATGACCTAATAACCGTATCTTATTACAAGACAATTGTATTGATTAAATAATTAACTTCCACTTATTACTACCACTGCCTCTGCACGATCCCTTACTAAATTAAAAACGTTCTAAATTCTTTTTATTATCAATTTTATCAATATTCAGATTCAATAGCAGTAAACAAACTAAAAAAAGTAGAATTTCCAAAACAAAATCTCCAAGAAATTAATTACCTTCGTATAATTAAATATTTAAAGGGACACAGTTGTTCTGTCCCACCAAATTTTTCAAAGAAAGTTTTAGCAGAGAGTGTATTAGACGTTGATCACCGAGAATCCGTTTCAATTACCAAACAACGTATTAAGTTCAGTTCCGTGACCAAAGTGAAACTTTCACTCTCCAAAGTTTCACCAGTTTAGATTACATTCAACTTGTCTATCGTGTGTGACTCCATTAGGGCTCACTTGGTGTTGGCCAAACTGGGCATCGTGCACTTTCTATGCCTCGGAGGACTCTGGGGTCAAGTTCGAATCGGTCGTGCCCTACCCTGGGCACGTAAAGTCGAACTCTGCTTGGTTGACACGTTAAGGGACGACGTTTTGATCACGAAAGCCTTCCGAGAAGTTGGACTTAGCGCGACGTATTTACACGCTGCCGGTGTGTATCGTATTCAGGAACACGAGGTTGGCGAAGACGCCCCCAAGGTGGAGGTCGTCGTCTTTGAAGAGGACGCAGTGGTGAGTTTAATTAATCCTTTCATTGCTATCGCTGCCTTTAGGCACTTGAGATATTCGCTTGCACTTTACCGTAGCCACCTTTAGGTATCTAAATAATTTTATTAAAGTACCGGTGCTTTCAAAATTCTAAATAGGATTTTCGTCTTTTTTCTTGATAATGAATAATTATTATATCATAAATTTGTGACAGGTGATTGATTAAAGTTCAGCTATCAGTGATATAGAAAATTATTTTCTAGGACAACGAAAATATTTTTCACGTTTTGTATAAAACAAAATGTTTACTTGGTCTCCGGATATGCAGATTCTTAGAACAGCTAAAGGTTTATCACCAATTTTAGTATTTGCAAACGATCCATCTTTGCATGAAACACGAGGTTGTAACGATTTCTAGACCCATAAGAACCGTAAGTTTAAGCTCTCAAGTGTCTTCCGTTACGAGTTGTAAATTTAACGAGGTGGCGCGAATATTCTACGCGATTTACGAGATGCATTTTACATATTGCATAACTAGGACAACAGAAGATCACTCCTTGGCAGGATTTTTGGCAATAAACCGGTGAACTTTCTTTTATTAGCGTCACTTGAAGTTCCGCAGACTGTTCTACTACGGTAGTACACCGAAGTACCTTATTTTACAAAAAAACATGTTCCATTCGCTAAATATTGAATATGTCAGTGAAATATTTATGGCGTTTGCAAAGAAATATCTCCGACCGACTTCAATTTTTAAAATCAAGAAGAAAATGTTACACCAGAAGGAAATGTAATTTATGTTTTCCTTTTGCAGACACGAATGGTTAGAAGAGTGGGTTGGACAAGAAGGGTGCTTCCTCCTGACTGCGAGTTTTCCCCCAGCCTTCAATGTTTTCCACCGCAACTCGTTATACCTCCCTTGCCAGCGAAACAGTTCGGCGGTCGACTAATGCCTGTCCCGAGGGAGGGCATCGAATTGCAAAAATATCACTATCCTAACGATTGGTGGCTCGAGGTGAAACCCACCGACTGTACCGAGCCCCAAGGAACGAACGCGTAGTATACTACTCAATTTTATTGCAACCATGTTTCACGATGGAAAGTTTATCCTAGAAGTTGTCTTTTAGGGTCGTCGTAAAAGAAACGGTGTTCCTGCTTACCACACACGATCGTGTTCCAAAGTTGCTTCATTTTTAACCCTTTCGCTGTATGCAACGATATATAATATTATGTATTGAAATACTTGGATAGAATTTGTGATAAATAGTTTAAAATTATATTCTATTCAAAAAATTGACGATAGTATATTAAGTCTATAAGACTGTTTTTGCATTTTTTAACCTTTATAGTACAAAACGGGGTAAATGATCATTTTTTAAATTGAAATAAAAATGATTAGTGCAAAATTTTAAATCTTCTTTAAATTATAGATTGCTGAATTAATTACCGAGCGAATAAATAATTTAGAAAATATATTTGGATATGTACATCTGCTTGCAGTACTCTAAGGGTTAATAAAATTAAATAACGCTTATGTAAAAAATTTGTAAAATCGAAAGTATGTTTATGCTATTATATAGTAAAGGTATATGTAGTCAACAATTTTCCTTGAAAGTATCAAAGTATATTATAAATATATTATTTATTGAACTTTAGTAACCAAGCATACGTCATAGCGGAAGGGTTAATATAGGTGGATTCGTTTTATAATAGAGTTTTTAGATATAGACAATTTTCAAATAAAAATTGAAGAACGACATCTACTGGATAAATTAATAATTTCTAACGTGTATTTAAGAGGCTACACAACTTTATAGAATTGTACTTAGTTTATTCGCATTTTCCTGTTAAATAAGTTGTTAAGTTTATGCGTGTATTTAGGACATTGTACAACTTTTCAGAATTCTAATTAGAATTGATAGAGCATTTTCTTAATTTTATGTTTCTAATTTAAGAATTGTGAATATGACAGCTTCCATTTTTAGAGGGTCCTGAATGTTTCCGTTCTTCCAGCTTTTAGTGGTCAAAAAATTTCCATGACACTTTAGATATTTTAAATGAATAAAAGTTGCTAGTAGAAAATTAAAATTATTTCAGTGAAAAATTGAAAAAAAAGGAAATGAAATGGTAAATCTAATGCATGAACATTAGGAAAATGAAATTTTCAAATGTACATTAAAACGAATGAAAGTTAAACGATTAAAAAATCAGGAACAATGTTCCTCTCGACCATTATGTTTAGTAAAGAGTACTTTTTAGAGACAAGTCTGATTGTGAACCCTTTGCACTTTGTTTACACGTTGATCATCGAAAGTCGAATAATTAAAAAATGAAAAAGAGGAAGAATAATTTGAATTGGAGTTAATAATTTGTTAAGAATGTTAAGTGACAAACTAGAAACTTCTATTGAAAAATTAACCCTTTCGGGACGACTGCGACGTCTCGAAGTACTGGACAATCTGTTGTCTGACTCTTTCAACCCTTTGGTGGCGAACTTTTAATATTCATGTTGCTCTCAACTTTTATAACTTTTCACAATTAGTAGAATAATAATCGGAGGTCTAAGTTTTTTGACATAAAAATAAATTGAGATATGGCATATAAATGAACCAACAATCTTTTCTGATAGAATAATTTGAGATTACGTGGTATATATTTATACTATTTTACGTGTGAAAAGGAAAATATCAGTCTTTGAGAGATCAGTGTATGTATTAAGAGGATTCAAAGGGTTAAGTAGTATAGTCTTTCATGGTTAGACCATCTTTTTATGTCAAGTGCAAATTATCTAATAGATATAACTTCTGATATAAAATTATTAATTCAAATATTTATTTCAAAATATTTTTCACTAAATTTAACTATATATGCGTCTGTAATAACGAAAGGGTTAAGTAATTATATGATATCTGCAGTAAACGATATAATCTGATAATGTGTCTTATTATATATATACGGTAATTTTCACTGTGATAGTTGACACTTTGTCTACGATCTCACTTGTACGTGAATGTCCTTTGAATTTCTATAAGGATACATTATACATATTATGAGAAATTACCTTCCTTGTCCAAGAAGGTAATTAGAAATACTCATATTAAATACTTGGGATGATAAATGATATAAATAACTAAAGATTCATTTCTAAGTTTTTGTTTTAAATATAAGCACTATCTCATAAGGTGATTAATGATTTCAATATAGTAATCAAAACGTTAACATGTTACATTTATTTATTAATTCATCACGTGATTATATTAACAACTTACTAAATAAATCCACTAATAGCTTTTAATTTTAATAATTTATTTTGATTATTAATGAGTTGTAAAGTAATAGCAGGTATGTGTTTATTTTATTTGTAAATAGAAGATAGTATGTTGATTTAATGTTTATCGTAATTTAACCAGTAGATACTCAAGAACTAATTTTGCTGAGTCTACTTTTAATTAATGATATTCTATATTATTCGTTAAAGAACATCTGTCGAAAAATTGTTAATCTTTAGTACGTCAAATACCACGAGGGGTGTTTAAGAAGAATTAAAAAGTACCATCAATATTATCATATAATTATAATTATTACGTGAAGTGTAATATACATATATAAGTCTGTTTCCACTGTGAAATTTAACGTGTTAATTATTCTCACTCAATTTCCCGAGGTTACAGCTTGATAACGTATCGTCGGGAAAATATCAGTTGTTAATATTCGAGTTCACCGCGACTACCACGTAAGAACACGATATATCTGGCGCATGATTTGTCATCGTTATATTTGACGCATCCTGCGTTACGTATGCGACACGTTATCACATTTGTCTTACTGTAAGATAAGGGGTTGGAACATCGTATCGAAAGTGCAAAGGGTTGAATTTGCCATAAATCATACGCAGAGCCGCAATAAGATGATGAAACTGTAGCATGAGCTATCATTTTTATTAGTAATTTTGATTAATAAATTTTTTGCAGTTTTTCAACTTCACATAGACAAATTTTTTAATTTAATTTCTCTTAACTTTCTCCTTCTTCCTTTCATTATTTATCGTCAATTTTACTGCGGTTCTGTATATAGCCATTGTAAATGATAATTGTACGAATTACTTATCATAATTAATCCTTACTATGTACTTCCTTCGAAGCGTCGAAAGATAAAAAATAGACCGATTGATATGCTTTCTTCAAAGCTTTGATAAATACAATTATTTATACGTGTTTATACTGACAGCTTTTTATATACGACACCGTGACAAACAATTGTTTCATAATTTTTCCACGTTTCTACCAGTGAAATCTCTCTCAAACTGATATTAATCCTTTCGCTAGGGCTGTTTATGTATTAAACGTAAATAAACTAATTTTGTTGATGAAAATTATTTACCAGTGGAGCTAGTTTTTGTCTGCATTTTTTATGACTATCACTAAATTCCATCTGGTCAGAATTATTAATATCCACTTTCAATCTCTAATTTAATTGAATTCATCCCCTGTTTATCCTTTAATTCATTACCTTCCATAATTTCCACCTTTGATCCTATAATTGATAGAATTTGCATTTAAAATTTATTACTTAGTTTAATTTTATTCATGATCCATAATAGCGTAAGAGTGAAATTGATCCTTTTATAAGCGTTAAGTAATTTCGTGTTTGTACGCTCCATTCATTAATTGCATTCTCGATCAGTCCTAGGATGTTATTGACAATAATTCACATCCACGATCACCTCATTGCAATGTTATATAATATGTCCGAGAGTACTAGTTAGTGATTGGTACGATATTGACTCAATATTGTCAATTTCAGTACGCAAATTATGATACCATATTGAATAGTATCAAACGTATAGATATCAAACGGAATCAATATTCGTTTGATATTTGTATGAAAACACCAATATCCATTTGATACTCTGCAACATTTTTTAACCGTTTTGACCATTCGCCTATTTAAATGACGAGTTAACTTTATTCAAAATGAAATGGAAAGTGATTACAGTTTACAATGAATATTTTTCTAGTGCTCACAGTTGATAGTTTCGGAACTTCATCAGGTGGGATTACTTCCGATTTGTTCGGTACTTTTGGATTTACTGACAACGGAAAATGGTATCTTTGACCCTCGAACGCGCGTCAAACTTTTTGGCACCGACGTCGTTCCAGTTTTCGTTGATCCTTTTATTATCCGTACAGTTTCTCGGTATTAAAGTCGGTCTTCGTAAAATCGCGAAGGCGGGACCAGACACCGGAAATGAAAACGGCTCAAGCTTATCCTGTTTCATCCGTTACAACAACGTCTAACATCAGGCGTGTCCTTCTTACGCTAGGATAATTCAGGTCGGGGATCAAAATTTGATTTCAAACAATAATTGACAAATAATAAATTTAACTGAAAAATATTTTTCACTATTAACAATTACTGATTTATATATTTATTCATTTGTAAATTATACGAATAAATAATTTGGTTCATTTTTCATTTATTTTAATATCTCATTTTCGACCTAACGACAATTATATTGTTTGTTCATATACAGAAACTAACAAATAAACGGATGCAAACGGAAGACCTTGCAAGGGGAACCTCGAGATAATGGAAGATTCTTGACAATAGACTTCTAGTGACAATAGAATGTATAGTAGAATAGCGAATAGCTAACTCGTAGTAATAGAATATAACAGACCATGGAAAATTAACAATAGAAATGTCTACATAACAATTCATTAGATAAACATTAAGAAATTATCTTTTTTACTAAATTTCACTCTCCATTTTATCATATTTGCAACATAATCGTCATAATGAGTCAAGGTTATTGCCTTAATTTGGCCCAGTTGTCTAAGATTTGGTACAGATAAAAAAGAAAGTTTCCAGAGAAAAAGAAACGAACCTAAGATGAACGTGTCCCCTTATTGGTATAGAGTGGGGAAAATATAAAAGAAAGTTAAACTGATCTAAGTTTTCGAATCATCCAGTGTCACTAAACTCATGTGGATGTGCATCGTAACTGAAATCAACAAGAACATTGAATATATTGTTTAAAAGTGGGTGAAATATAATTTCAAATGTGATTTATATATCTTCTCCTATACATATATCGAAGAATAAAATAAAATAAAATAAAATAAGTGATTGACGTTATAATGTTTTAAGCTATAGAGAAGAATAATTACATAAACTGTGTGCTTTTCATATTTTGATTATGAACATACTTACACGAGTGAGTATTTATTTTAATTTAATCCTGTGATATTATTAGGTGTTTTTTTATATCTTCAGAAAGTCTCTTTATATGAATATACTGAATTTAAATATGAATATTTAAAGTGAAAATATATTTTATTAAAATTTGAAATGGATAAAAGGAAACAGTGAAGATGAAATTGTCAGTACATTGCCCATTAAAATAATTATAATAATTTATTACATTAAACGTCTGTATTACTTTAATATTTTACTAATCTCTAAAATAATCTAAAATTTTTAAAAAAGTGAAAGGAATATATTCTGTTTTATCTGAAACAAAAAAGAAATAATGAAGTTAAGATTCTCACGACATTGTACGTTAAAATGATTATCCGAGACCCAAGTAGAAAGCAGAATCGTCAAAGAAACGTCTTTGTAAATACACTCACGTATCGTTTTACGTGCACGTGTGTATCTGTATCACCTGACACATCACAAAGTACCAAGAAACGCCAGTTTCTCTCATCATTGATAGCATCACCGATGCTTATCACTGAATTCTGTCACGGTCCTTTCATTTTCGAAATTGAAGGAAACGTCAAAGACTTTCAAGGTTTTCTAGAAAAATGCTTTGTTCACAGTGAATTCAATTGGATCGAATAATTAAACAATTCGTGTCACATCAGAAATCAGCCATCAATCTTATTATTTTCATTGATTTTTTAATTGACTACGAATTTTAATTTATCACCTTTTTGAACACATTGACTGCCAAGCAAACGCTATGAAAATTTTATTAGATACTTTTATTTTCATTTTTATTTTTAACAAATTTTCAGCTATTATTGTCACAATATTTAATTAATAATACGTATAATGGATTTCTATGAAAATTTAAGTGCCATCCAAATAGGGAGGGATGATATGGCAGTCAGTGTGTTAAGGGTATTCAATTCAGTTTGATTCAATTTAATTTATAAAAAGCCAATGATTCATGCCTGTCCCCAGTACTGTTTTCTACTTGCATTTTTCATCCTGCTGCACGAAACTATTCAATCAGAGGAGATTTATAAACTTATCAGACCGTACAAGTATTATCAACGCAGACCATCGCGATGGCCACGATTTCACGCTGGTCACAAATCATCGAGGTTCTATCGTTTTGGAAGGATCCCATCGGAAGACTATTATTCACGCAGGTCAACTTATTACAGGTATGAATTGAATATTAAATTATATGGTAGGAAAATGATATAAAAGAAATAAAGAAGAATGAGATAATAATTCAACCTGTTTGCTTTTTATATTCATTCTCATTTATTCTTTCTCTGTGACGTAAATTGAACGATAATAATAAATGTTAATTTTCACTGTTATATTTTCAAGCAATGATATTTGAAATTGATAAATTCTTTGTATGAATTTACTAGGACAATAAATTAATTAAAGAGAAATTAAAAGAGGAATTTCAATATTTTACATATTGAATTTTGTTCAAAAATCAAAGGGAATCGTTTTCAATTGATTTCAGCTCGAGTGATTTGGTAAAAAATGGACGATGGGTTGTTTGTATAACAATCCGTAGGCAACAAGGCCCTATTATTGTTTACGAGGAAAATTAGTTTTGTTAGAAAAATTAACGAGATGCTTGTTCGACGTTTTAGGTATCGTTCATCGAGGAACGATTTCGATGGACGGGCTGAAAATCACCCCTATACTATTGTGATCCAACTACCTAAAGCAGAAACTAAATATAGGGATAATAATTATCGAGAAAGACAGAGAAATTATGAAAGAGATGCTGTTCCGACGTACAATAATGAAAGTGACTATATTGATGAAGAAGAAGAAATGGAATCTAAAGTGGGCAATATTAATAATAAAAAAGTACAGATAAAAGTAAGTGGAGAAAAAAAATGGAATACATTTTTAAACAGAGGTGGATCCATAGGGGGATAAAATGAATTTAAAATAAAATATGTATATTGTAAAATAAAATTACTTTTGCTAGTATCCTAATTTTATTTATTATTTTCAAATAAAGTAAATTATTTCCATTTACTACCTATTTAACAAAATGTCAAATTTTGAATCTACTACAATTTTGCAAATTGTGACTCTGTCTTGGAATGAAAACAAGGAAATCTTACGGAATGATATTCTAGAGGATGTCATACAAGGAATTTGTCTTTATTTTAAAAATTCGTTGTTTGCATGCATGAGGCAACAATGAACATGACGAGGTGAATTTAAATCAAATTGTGATGCCTTCTCGAGCGGATGAGAACGGACATGCCGTAACATAATTCGAAATTCCAGGGTAGGATTGCAATTCTGGAATTTCGTGTGAATGCATTTAATGCAATGCAACCTGCGAATACAGTAAATTTAATGACCGTTTTAGTCACAGAATTTATCAGTATTACTTTTTAAACGCATTGTATATGAAATTTCATTTTAATAAAGTAACACATTGCTTTGAATGTCCCTTTAACAATGATCTACTAATAACTTTTCACTAACAGAAAAATTGAAAAATTAATAAAAATTTTCAAATTGTAGCCTAATAATGTTTTTTATATTTACAGATGATTAAAGGAAAAAATCCAAAGTTGCACATTCAAATTTCAAAATCTGATAATGAAAATAATTTGGAAATTGTGGATAAATCGAGCATCAGTAGCATGAATTTACCACGATTATTCAATTACAAGACCATTATTTAAAATAGAAACGTTCTGTATAATTGCAATCTTATCCAGATGATCATTAAACATTATAAATATCGGAATTTTTTATTTTGAAAATTGTATATTCTTCCTTGAAAGCTTTTTTTATAGCTAATTTTAACAAATAAATGAATGACCTGAATTTACAATCTGAATAATTTTACACAATAACAAACTCTGTTTTGATTCTTGTTATTATCTTTGATCTTCTGTCAATTAACCAGAAGCAGAGGTATAAATGCCACCTGAATGGAAGGAGTCTGGGTCATAGTCCTCTAAACAATAGTATTGATTTTCAGCCATGCCACTTTCTTCGTAGAGCATTGTTTCGCAAAAACGCGATCCTTTCAATTGCTTAATAATAGGAATGTATTGGGTAATTGATTACGAATCCGTTGAACCCTCAGAAAATCACCGTTCAATGAAAATAAAATAAAAATAAAAGAGGCAATTGTGTGGCTTGGAGGTAATACGAATTTAACACATTGATTGCTCGTTAGGAATTCATTCCTATTGACTTGCATTTAATTATCGAATAATTAAAAGAATTAAAGTTAAGAAAAATTATACTATTAACGGAAGGTAGCAAATGGAAAGTTTAATTGAGAAATAAGAGAATAATATGGTGACATTGAGGCAACTAGAATTTTTCTCTGATGTGGGCCACATTCTTTAGAAATTTTGGAAATTTAAAATTTTGAAAACTTAAAGTTTGGGAATTTTGAACTTCTAATATTTTGGAATTTTAGAATAGTGAGAGAGCCGGTCTACTTTGAATAAATGATTTCTAAGTTTTCAGATCAATTACATAATGGAAAGTGAAACTTAGCATTTCCATTAATTAGAAAATCTGAAGAAAATACGCACCGCAAGTATCACCGCGAAATCATAAATTCATTAAAATCAAAACAAGATTCTTCAGTTTGAAAGGCAAACAAGCGACAAGCTCCGGGTTTCAAAGAAGCCATTAATTAATTTTCTCGAGTAAGCGGATCCTTTCTGAGGGAATGCAAATCTTGTTTCGTAAAGGCGCAAAGCAAAACATCCGCAAAGAAGGCGGAACAACGACTCGGTAGAAAGGAAATTACTCGAAAAGGAATATTCATCTTTTCAATGGTTCAGCGTCGTTGAAACTTCTTATTGTTCGACGACTTTCGTCAAATTGTTCAGTCGTTTCCCTGTCGTTCTTTTCGACATTGTTGAGTTTAATATCAATGATCGAGCATTCGGTGCTCGAGAAATCGTTCTCGAGCAGCTAAACAATGAAGAGACAAGCAAATACCGAGCGATGCCATGCCGTTTCTTGTCCCGCTTTACTCAAAATATGAATCGTGAAAATGACTGCAAGATACGTGAAATGGCGCGAAAAAGAAAAAGAAATGTCAAAGAGAAGGAAGAACACAGACGCATATTCACCCGGGCATTTTTCTCAATGTAGTTTTTATTTCTAACATAATAATCAACGAACATGTCGCAATAATAAATAATTGTAATAATATACAGTGCTGTTGTTGCCGTTCACATCATTCTATCTTGATTTCTTTCGTTCAAACGCGGATTTTTCTCGCTTTCACTCATGTTTTTTCATTGGCTCTCCGTTCGTCCGTTGTACTATCGATAATGCGAAACACAACGTCGAAAAATACACACATGGGGTTTTTCCTTTGCTCGCATCGGTACGATACGTTTCGTCGGAAAATACTGTTTTATCCAGGGAAATTTCTCCCTTTGAACCGGGGACACAGCCACGCGATGAATATTTTATTATGAAAAGAAATTCCCTCGAAAGGAAGGGACAAGTTTCGTTATTCCGCTCGGAAAATATCCTCGGATGAAAATCATTTTCCAGTTTTCGATACAGTATCTCTATGGAGAATACAAATTTTATACTCGTATGGATATTACGATTCAATTACTAGAAATTTGTTTCTTTCTTGTAACATTTTGATTGAAATTTTTGAAAAAATAATTTTGTTTATTTTAAATATTGCTAAGAGATATTCAGTCCCTTATTTGATGGAATATATAAAAATTATCACTATTTAAATCTCTATTAAAATATTTTCTGTTTTCTGTAATTTGACTATGATTTGATGAAATGAAAACGTGGTGTGTGTAGTGTCCCTCTTTTCTTCTTCAGCTTTCCAAATATTACCCAATTTATATTATTAAATAAACTTTTGTTTGCCACATATTAAAGCAAAAAAAAATATTAGTTTTGTAATCTTTATGAAATATAAAATACATAATATACATATAAGGGAAACATTCTAAAAGCAACAGAAAGATTTAAATGAAGATTTAAATGAAAGATGATTCAGTATAATAGCATGAAAACATGAACTTTAAATACTGAATCATAATATTGATGAAAGAAATTCTACGTAGTTTTAATGATAATGTAAGATGCGTATAATTCGATTGTTTTTAAAGATGAAAGCAAAGCTCACAGAGAATTTTTCTTAGGAGATAACATCTAGCAATTGGATCCCTTCGCGTAAAACCCTTCGGCCACTTCTCACCGCGTTCTATAATCGTTTCGATCGATCCATGTCAATCCCTTTAAGAATATTCATCGCGGGAACGGCGATAATCGAAAATCGATAAGGAACGTCGGTAAGCAAAGTACACAAAGGATGAACTAAGACCTGACACTTGATACGACATTATCAAAGAGTTTCTCTTCGTCCTCGATTCGGATTAAAAAACAACATTCACTATAACTAGTAAGCTAAAAGAAGGAAATTTATCACGAACCCTTGTCTCTGATTATCGTCACTTTGCTGAGAGATATTTCTGCATAAAATTAGAATGCGATGATTTAACCGTTTAAATAATAAAAGATGTAAACAAATCTTAAAAAGGATGAAAAAAAATTTGTAGAATGAAGATAGGAGATTCTTCATAGAATTCTTCTAAAACATTAAAATAAAATAGAAACTTAAAAAATTAATTTGTTATAAAATTTTTTCTAAATTTATACAGAGACATTTCAAATCCTTTAGGGCAGTGAGTCTTAATTAGTAGTATGTACAAGGATCACTAATGGTACGTGAGAGGCAGCTGAGTGGTACGCGGATAATTTATGCAATATACAGTATAACAATTTTAATATTGTTTGATAATTGTACAGTATCGAGCATGGTAGACTTCCCTGGGTTCAGGGATACCACCTCGTAAGTAGCCGCGGAGAGAATGACGTTGGAGGGGAAAGGGCCCCAAATATATACGCGCATGCGTAAGCGCGACGCTCAGCGGCGCGCTGATTGGTCAATTTTCAACAACCAAATGTGACTAAACTACTGATCCCATCGAAAAATGCCACAGAACTTTTCACTTCGATTTTTCGTGATCTATCCAGCGGTGTAGAGGTCTTCAGGGTATTTTTTAACACCCTGTATAGAATTTGTTAATATACTAAATTTCATCGCTTCTTATAATGTCTCAATTACCAAAGTATCACTATATACAAGATATTAATTCAGTAATAAGAAAATCCATCAACAGAAACACCAGAATACTTTTGTGACTCACTGTACGTCACGCCAATTTCATTTCGTTAGTCAAGAAACCCGGGCCAATAGGTACATCAAAAAACCCGACAATTTCGGGCGTTAATTACCTTTCGAACGCGTTACCACGAAACAATATTATCGGCAAAACAATTACCGGTTCGATACCCGTTCCATAAATCGTCAGCTGCCTCTCACTCTCTCGTTCAAATTATACCAGACATATTGCGCGACCAGTTTGCAGATGCTGAAAATATCGAGCTCACGTACGGAAGGGAAGAGAAATAAAATATAAATGAAAAAAAAAATGTTTGGCAAATGCATTTGGTTCGGTCTCCATTCGTATGTAAATAACTCGGCCTAAAATCAAGCCAGACATTCGCCGCTCAGCTGGTTTCATGCCAATATCGACGAGTTCCGAGAATCAGGACACGTAAAACGCGTGTGTCTGTCGCTATGTCGCTCATTACGCGATTCATAATTGGTGTCGACGTTCCTTTTCCCCTTTAAAACTACGAATCGTCCCGTAAAACCGAACGGCCATGATTATTTTCCAGCGGGAAAAATGGGAGATCGAACTGGTGCGCGATGACGTGCTTGGAAATTCGATCATTCGACGAACAATTGTTGTTACCGGGAAATATGGGTTGTGTCTGATGTTTGTTCAAATGAAAAAATAATTGCATTAATTAATCTCTATTTATTGATCGTTGAAGATTCTTTAATTAGCTCTGATAATAATTTAAATATCGCGATTTTTATCGTTAGAAATTAGGCAATTCTTCGATCAATATGAAATTAATTAATTAACATGTTCGATCTCAGGGTAACAGCTGTACGTGTTATTGTCCATTTGGAGTGGGTAATACTATTCCATTGGGTCTGAAAGTTAACAGTACCATTGAAATCATAATTAACTAACCCGTCAAATTGTGTTTAATTGAATAATTAATGAAAGAAAAGTTGAAGATAAATTTGAAAATTAATCTACCACACACTTAATAATTATGTTTGACTACTGTGGCAATTAACGTGTAAATTAGTATCTACGTGTATTAGCGTAAATTAAAAATAAAAGATTATATGTATGAATGCCGTTTGATGTGAACTGTCACCGCAACTAGATCAAGACGATCATTTTGATGTAATACAAAGCTGTCTTAGAAACTGACAGCTCAGTATCGTGTCTGACTAGTGCGGTCCGCTACTACTGATACCATCGACACCGACCGTCTTGGTTACCGCGGTCAATATTAACTCTTTGACTGGCAATATCCGGTATTCCGAGCGAATCAATTGTGTGATATACGCTACTTTATCTCGAAACTCAGCTGCAAGTGTCAACGACATAAATTATAAGCGGGATAATATGAAACTTGTTGAGCGTTTGTTATCACAAAGCCTGTTGCTCAAAAGGGAGATTTTACAAGTTTATTATAAATTTTGATAGATTCTTAAATATTTATTAGGCAAGATATTTAAAAA